GGCATCTTCAAATTCGCTGCAGGAGAGAGAGAAGACTGTCCAATATGGCAGCCATTAGCCACATGTAGCTCATGAAATTTAAGTTAAAATAAAATGACATTTAAAAATTAGATCCTTGGGTTCACTAGCTATACTTCAAGCACTCAGTTACCACATGTGCCCAGTGGTTATCCCCATGGAGATATGAAACGTTCCCATCATTGCAGAGAGCGTTAGTGGACAGTGCTGATCTTGGCAATAAAGATGGTGATTACACAGAAACTCATTTTTAAAGACCCATGTGAAAATTATAAAAGAAAACAGAGATCTTGAATATGTTTCTTTTGCAACTGTAAGTTTTTCTATATATAGATAGTGTCCCTACTTCCTGGAATTGGTTCTGGGATTAATGATGGATCTATCTTATTTGTTAGAGAGGGAAAGCAGAAATTAACATTAGCTGAGGGCTTACTATTAGTTGAAACTTTCCGAGGGATTTTACACATATTATCATTTAATTCTCCCAGTAGTCCTAGAGGGTAGTATTATTATTACTATTTTTAGGAATAAAGAAAGGATGGCACAGGAATATTAAGTAGCCTGCCTTAAATTGTCAATGTTTTACCTGGGTAGGATTTCAAGTCCAACTCCAATATTTTGCTATAGCCACGTAACTTGTCTTAATAAGTAGTTAACTTACTTGCATATCTATTCTGTTTTATGTACTTAATATAATAAAACAGGAAAAATAATTTAAGTAAGAAACTTTACCAGATATTAAATTTTTAAATATGAAATGATGGTCAGAACAAATAAAATTCTTTAATTTTACCTATATTGTTTTATATTAGCATACATAAGTTGACTGCATGAAAGAAATACACATAAAATTTATTATTATTATACTGCATTGTTTTACAAGTCATTTAGTATTAATATATGGTCAGTTTTCCCCCAATGCTTTTGCGATTTAGGATGTAGACATGTTTTCATCACTAATGCTTGTTTATATTGCAAAATAATTTGATATAAATTTGACCTTGGCACTTTAATCAACCACTTAAGAGTGTTCTGAGCTGGGCTGACGCTGTCCTTAGAGAAGCAGCTACAATTTAATTTGTTCTTGGCCATCCATATTTCTGTTGCAAACATTCTCAAAATTATTTAACCTTACCATTATTTATAAGCTGGCAAACTTTTAAAATTAAAAGTTTATTGTATATAAATGGACAAACAAAGTTGAAACAGAAACAGGTTGCCACAGAAGACGGGGCTTAGGGGATCAGGTGAAAAGGTGGAGGGATTGAGAAGTACAGACTAGTAGTTGTAAAACAGCCATGAGGATGACTAAAGGAAGTATAGTCAATAATATTGTAATATCTATGTATGTGGCCAGTTGGGTACTGGAAATATCAGGGGGGGGCACTTTGTAAAGTGTATGCTTGTTTAACCATTATGCTGTGCACCTGAAATGAATACAAAATAATATTGAATGTTTAAAAAAGCTTATTGTAGGTCAAAACGATAAAAACAATCATAACATTTAAAATATGATCATTTGCTAATTATTTTTATGTAATATTTTAAACATATTACAGTCTAAAATAAGCCATAAAGAACAACTTTGCATATTTGTTCTAGTCTAGTTCTGGTGTGCCTTGTCCAGCCATATGGACTAAATTGTATTTTGTGCAACACAGGGTGGGGTGGTATTCAGGCTAGAAACATTTTCAACAGAAAATCCATCATTTGGAACTTCAGTTGTCAGCACAGGTGCCCTGGCTTAAGCGACCCACCCAGTTCTGGGAATGGAAAAGCTGACACAGGTCTATGAAGCAGTTGTCTGATATCATCTGGGCAGGAAATGGAGAAGGCTGAACTTAGAAGCAACCCTAATAATTTCCAAATCCTTCTGAGATTAGATGGGTAAATATAATAACTGCAATTGAGGCATGTTCCCTAGTTACCTAGTTTGGTAAATTTTAAATAAAAAAAGTCTTAACAGAGGAAGAGACAGCAATCCTAACACAAATTAGTTTTATTCCATTCAGCTAGTTACAGTTATAAAACATCTTTCACAGTGATTATACCTTAGTAAATAGATTCAACTAGTATATGGAACAATTAAAAATATGCTCTAGTAGAGTGACTTTAACAATGCTTTTCCAAGTCCACCAGTAGGGGAATCCCAAAGACACCATATTTCTTGCTATTACTATTGATACGGAAAATTTGTTGTCTTATGAGTGAATTAATGGACTGAATTATGAAGACTCCACTATTTCAATGTCAATACCTTAAAAAATCTTGCCCAGCCAGCGTGGCTCAGTGGTTGAGCGTTAACCTATGAATCAGGAGGTCTCGGTTCGATTCCCGATCAGGGCACATGCTGGGGTTACAGGCTTGATACCCAGTGGGGAGTGTGCAGGAGGCAGCCAATAAATGATTTTTCATCATTGATCTCTCTCTCTCTCTCTCTCTCTCTCTCTCCCTTCCTCTCTGAAACCAATAAAAAAGTATTTTAAAAAAATCTTTGTGGTTCTATCGTTCCAGAGCTATTGTCATGAGATGTTTATGGATTTTGCCAAAACCCCAATGATATCTGTTTCTTTAGTGATTCAAAATGCTACTCCCTCTCCAAAGTATTTTTACCACTCTAACCAAAATTAATTACTCAGTTCTCTCTACAGTCCCACATCACTTGAGCTAAGTCTCTATCTTGGCTCTTATTACATTGAATGTAATTACTCATTTACATGTCTCTCCTCTCTAGTCCATGATCTCCTTTATCTTACAAACTGTTCCTTATTCCTTGCTAGCTCCAGGCTTCCAGCTCATATCTTAACATCTATAAATTTCATGGAGCCAAATTTAGTTTTAATAGAGTCTATAGCAGTGGTTCTCAACCTTCTGGCCCTTTAAATACAGTTCCTCATGTTGTGACCCAACCATAAAATTATTTTCGTTGCTACTTCATAACTGTAATGTTGCTACTGTTATGAATCATAATGTAATTATCTGATATGCAGGATGGTCTTAGGCGACCTCTGTGAAAGGGTCGTTCGACTGCCAAAGGGGTCGCGACCCACAGGTTGAGAACCGCTGGTCTATAGCAATATTACTCAAAGTGTGGTGCTGTTATCATCTGAATGAGAATCACCTGAGTGTTTATGAGAAGTACAGATTCCTGGGCCCAATAGCAGACCTCCTTACACAGAATCCCCAGAGTGGGGCACAGGACTATAGATTTTTAATTAGGACTCTAGGTAATTGTTATGCAAAATGAAGTTTTTTGGTATAGTTTAATTGGAGTATAATTCACATACCTTACAATTCACCTGTTTACAGTGTGCCTTCACAGAGTTTATTTTTATTCAGAGAATTTGAAACCATCATACCAATCAATTTTACATTTTCTTTTTTTTCATTTTTATTGAATTTATTGGGGTGACACTGGCTAACCTTGTTAATAAAATTATACAGGTTTCGGGTGCACAATTCCACAACACATCACCTGTACACTGTATTGTGTGTTCACCACCCTAAGTCAAGTCTCCTTTCATCACCATTTATCCCCCCATCTCCTTCTCCAACTCCCCCCTACCTCCATCTCCCTGGCATTCACCACACTGTTGTCCATGTACATGAGTTACAACATTTTCTTTATTCAAAAATCAACTCCATACCTTTTAGCAGTCATTCCCATGTCTCCCAATGCTAGGCAATCATTAATGTAGTTTTTGTCTCTATAGATTTGTCTATCTGGACACTTCATATAAGTGAAATTATACAATAGAAGGTCTTTTGTAATGACTTAGTTCACTCAGCATAATGTTTTCAAGGTTCATCCATGTTGTAGCATGTATCGGTACCTCATTCCTTTTATTGCTGAATAATATTCCATTGTGTGGATACACTGCATCTTATTTATCCATTCATCAGTTGATGGTCATTTTAGTTGTTTCCACTTTTGGGGCTATTATGAATATAATGCTTTTAAAAATGTGTGTACAGCTTTTGTGTGGGCACATTTTCATTTCTTTTGGGCATATACTTAGGATTTGGATATCTGAGTTATATAGTAACTCTTGGTTTCACTTTTTGAGGAACTAGCAGACTGTTTCATATGTAGTTGCACTTTTCTACAACCCTACCAGGAATGTAGGAAGGTTCCAATTTCTCTACATCCTTGCCAACACTGTCTATTGTCTATCTTTTTTATCATAATCATGTGGATGTGAAGTGGCATCTCACTGTGGTTTTGATTTCCCTGATAGCTAATGATGTTAAGCATCTCTTCATGTGCTTATTGGCCAGTTATATCTTCTATGGAGGAATGTCTACGCAGGTCCTTTGCCCATTCTTAAAATTGGGTTATTATTTTTTTATAATTGAATTGTAAGAGTTCTTATACATTTCAAATAGAATGTGTAGTTTACAATTTTTTCCCCCAAATTCTAACTCATCTTTCTATTTTTGATGGTGTCCTTTGAAGTACAAAAGCTTTAATTTTGATGGCCAAGTTATGTATATTTTCTTTTGTTGTTTGTACTTTTGATGTCATATATAAGAAATCATTGAGGCCCTGAATATTTACAGCTGTTTTATACTAAGAGTTTTATCTTTTACCTTCAGGTCTCTGATCCATTTTGAGTTAATTTGTATATGGTGAGCCAGGGTCCAATTTTATTTATTTATTTTTTGCATGTGAGTATCCTGTTGTCTGAACACCATTTGTTAAAAAGACTATTCATTCCCCCATTGAATTGATAGACACCATCAATGAAAATCAACTATAAGGTGTGGCACAATACAATTTTAGAACCATGTACGTACTAGAACTGTGAACTGCCCACTATAATAAGAGTAATACAAGATAAAGTTATTAACCTTAGACCATTTTAAAGATGATTAGACTTGATCGTGTTTGCAATTCCAAATTTGGTGTGTATGTGGAAGTCGTGACAATGGGAAATGGTAAGGTAGGGGTAAATGCAAACTATTTAATTCAAGGAACTTACTTGGCAAAATGGTCTTATAACGATTTTTAGTTCCATGACGTGGAATGTCAATTTCTTTGGGATCCACAAAGTTCATCGGTATTTCCTGCAAAAATGAATGATATCAAATTAGTACATCTAATGCTTCCACAAAGAAAATCTTCACAGGGGGGCATCTGATCTAAAGCTCTCTGGACTTCAAAGTCATTTATAAACAACAGCCTACCACCTCTGGCGGACCAACACCCTTCCTTCCATAAACATATCAGTGGCACCCTGGCAAGCTGAATCTGAGAAACAGTTCTCTGCGTTAGAAAGCTCTATTTTATATGTAGTTACTTGAAAAATATAAAAATTTGGTTATATTTTAAGAATCCTGTTCTGTATAGTTGCTGAAAATATATAAACAGGAAGCTGAAAACTGATATTTTAGCAATGTATTCAAATTTCTTCAAATCTTTCTTTTCAGGACCCAAAATTTCTCTCTGATGAATTCTCTTTTGACATTAATTGTGACTCTTTTAAGACTATTAAAACCTCCCTCTCTGAATGGCAAATATAAAGGGCTTTTGTGTTGATTCAAGTGATGACAGTGTGATTTTTTTTTTGTATTAAAGAATGGTCTGTAATTGTTCTGTTCCTATTGTGGCTTCAAATGCAATATTTTTAGTGAAGGGCATCCAGGCACTGTTTTCTCCCACTTAAGAATATTCTTATTCAGTAAGAATATATTTCATATGTCTTAGATAATTGGAGCCAGAATAATGACAGCAGAAGTGGCTCTGTGGAAATGAATTAGACCCAAAAGGTGAGCATCTGTAGCTACTTGGCAAAAACACCAATAAGCCTGTGTTCAAAAGGGTGGAAACAAATATGCAAGCATTTGGTTATACAAAATACTATGTAATAATTCTCTAACTTAAAATTCCACAAAGGACTGCTAAGATAAGGTTAATGTGAAATAAAATAACTGTTATTTCTATATTATATAAAGCAATATTTTTTGTTATTTAAACTTTCTCTCCTGAAAACTATACTCAAAAGCCTAGTAGTCATTGAAATAAAAAAATTATCAATAAATTAGTTCAAATTGTCCTAGTTTTCAGTCGAGCTAAAATTTTGAGAAAAGCCTGACTATACTATGAATTTGAGACTTGCTCTATAAAGAGGAGTAACATATTTTTAAAATATTTCCTAAACTTGCATTATTCTAGATAGTTATAATATTAATCCCTACTCTCTACTCTAACTAAAGGTTAAAATTCTCAGTCCAAGTTACCAAAATAAGCAAAATTGTTGAACAGTCAGTAGAAACCACATATTCATGTTTGGCAATTTCAAAGAGGTCAGTCTGTTTTGGCAAAGCCACAGAGTCGGTGATATCTTTATTCCTCCTGTGCTCCTTCCTGCTTTCTGACTCACTAATTTGTCATCTTCCAGCATTATCTCTCTTCTCAGCTTCCTTGTTGCCCCATCTTTCCTTTAAGGAAAGCAGGCTATGTTAAGGGCTCGTCTTTTTTAAAAAAAATATATTTTATTGATTTATTACAGAGAGGAAGGGAGAGGGATAGAGAGTTAGAAACATCGATGAGAGAGAAACATCGATCAGCTGCCTCCTGCACACTCCCCACTGGGGATGTGCCCGCAACCAAGGTACATGCCCTTGACCGGAATCGAACCTGGGACCCTTGAGTCCGCAGGCCAATGCTCTATCCACTGAGCCAAACCGGTTAGGGCAGGGCTCATCTTAAAGAACAAAGACTCTCTGTGATTCTAGAAAAGAATAATGAGTGTACTTTTGGCTAGTTGTGCGATCATTGACTAGTTGCTTTATTTCACTAAGTCTACACTACGAAGTCTACTTAAAAAAAACTGCATGTTTGTGTTTTACTTTAAACACTTAATAATCATTGATGAGGCTAATAGTAGATCTAATCCATTGCTGGATCTTTCACCATCAGGGTAATTGAAATATCTGAAATGACCTGAGAATGATCAATTTATTACTCTCAATAGTTATAGCTTAAGATGCACAACTGACGTAAGATGCAAAGTGATCTTCTAGTATAACATGGACATTCCCCTTGGGTAACAATTAGGCCAAAGAAGACCTAATCTGTATACATGTTCTCTGAGTAGAAATGTGTTATCATGAATTAAGTTATCACGGCAACACTAAGTCACCATAATTTTTAGGTGAAACTCACAATCACTTTTATACCACATTTGATCTTCTCGTGTGTTCCATAGTTCATTAAAGAGCACCTGGTTGCTCAAGTAACAGAACCAGGGTATCGCTTCTGACTTGCTCTTCAAAGACAGCAAGGCTGTTCCCTCTTTCTGGAATGCTCTTCTCTGCCTGCTCCTCTTGCCAATCCTTTGCCTGGCCATCTCCTCCATAGTTTGCCTCAATGGAGTTATCACATTCTAGTTTGAACACATCAATAGTTGATGAGCTACAGGGTAGATCTAAAACCTTGCACTTAACCTTTTAACTGTAACCATTTTTATTGTTCCTTGCAGGGTGGTGCCATCTTAGTATGTGCCTCTAGTGGCTCGTTTATCATAATACCTAACGAAGGGCAAATAATAACAGGCTCACCATGAATTCACTTTGGAGCAAATGTGAACTTGCCACGACGTCCCTCAGTTGTGATCTTGTGAGAATTCGGCTGGCTGACTGTAGATACTCCATTGCTACCTTCTCCCGTGGGGTTGGAACAGCCACGAAGGGTTCAACATTCCCTAAGCTGCTCATGTCCAATGTAAGAGATACGTTGGACCCTCTTCTGCATGGGAGAAGAATGTTATTAGGATTAAACACCACATAAATTATTTTGGTAGCATAAAATTGTCTTTTTGGACATACACACAATTCGGTAAGCACCTTTACTGATATATATCCAAATATCTTTTTCTCTTATGATACCATAGTTGAGTACAGCAACTATTATTATTTTTAACTCCTTTGGATCATTGCGCTAGGATTATGGGACAGCATTCTGGATACCCCCAAACATCACCTACCTGTTAGAGGGACGTTTGCCCCTTCACTTGTTTTGTTTGTGTGCATGTTGGTGGTGAGCGACACGGCTCCTGTATATCTGGGTGAAAGGTCAACAGATGGAGAGGAGCAAAGAATGGTTCTGCTTTCAGGTTGAGAATTTTAATCTATTTTTAGTGGGAAAGCAGTTTAGACATTTTCTCAATCCAGTTCTTCTGGCCTTTAAATTGGCAGAAATTCCTTTGTGATTCTGATAATAGTTTTTAGTGTACTTGTGAGAATTCGGCTTCTGCTGGTTTCATAGGTACTTTAGTAAGGGATTGCTAAGTACACACCATTTTAAACCATTATTCTACTCAGTCAATTTTCAGTTCTAAAAGACAAAGGTATCTGCAATCTGTCACCTGAATGACACCGAGTGCCCCAGCGGTTTAGTAGCAGGTAAGTAAGGTCTATCCATTCAGAGTGCTCTGAGCACATGCATGAAGTAAGAGGCATGAGAGTTGGGCCTTGAAAGTGCAAGTTCAATGGGTTCATTTGGGGTCGAGGGTTATTTCAGATAGAGAGCCTGACAATAGAAAAAGTGTGGGAACAGGAAGTGATAAGCTATCTTTGAGAAATAGCATATAAGCAGTTTTTGGAATTGGGGGACACAGTTATGTAGGAGAGATGAGAGAGGCAAGAATCATAGAAACTGTAAGACCAGAAAAAGCCTGCTCAAGCCCAGAAAAAAGAGCATTCAGAACATCAGCGAATATCAACTTCTGTTTTGGCTTCCCACAGCATCCCAGCCCAAACCTGGGACGAGAAGCCTCTGAGATGCCAGGCTCTCTCTCCAGCTCCTGGCCTGAGCCTTGCCTTTTCTGATGGAGCCACAGCCGGCATCTGAGCAAACCCAGGTGTGAGGGGTCATGTGACCACTTGGGAGAATGTGTGTGTGCTGGGCCATGCCTCTGGGTGGACAAACAGTGCTCCACACTCTGCCTCCTTTGAGATTTTTAATAAAATAATCTCATGCAGGGAAAAATAGATAGACCTAGTGAGTAAATTTTCTAAGTCTTCTGTGATAAACAGAGCCATGAAAGCATTTCCATGCAAACTAACTTACTAAAGGAAGAATGGTTTTTGTCTGACAAGAGAAGAAAGGAAATGAATATTTATTAAACACCGATTATTTGCCAAGCACCTGCTCTAAGCACTTTTGCACATGTATGTGAATCTTCACAGGAGCTCTCTGAGGGATTACTTGCACCCATTTCACAGGTGAAGAAAGGACTAATTTAGGAACACAATAGTGAAGCAAAGGTTCAACCCAACTTAGAATTTAAAACCCCAGCTCTGTCTGCTTTGTCACCCAAAAGCAAGGGTAGAGGGGGCAGGTCATGTTAGACTATACAGTTCCCTCCGTAGAGTTTGAAGTCCATTGTTGGGAGGAAGATCAAGATTGACTGCGGTATAATGTGGAGGCAATACAGTATTCAGGGCTAAGAACTCAATGTTTGCAGTCATATTCATCTGGGCCCAAACCCTGCCTCTCCCATGGTGCTGTGGTGCACCTTTGGTCAGGCTATGTAACCTCGTTCCATCTCAATTTCTTCCTCTTTTATTTTTATCCTCACTCGAGGACATGGAGGGAGAGAGAGAGAGAGAGAGAGAGAGAGAGGTTGCCCTCCATATGCATCCTTACCTGGGATGGAACCTGTAACCCAGGTATGTGCCCTGACTGGAGCTGAACCGGCAACCTTTCAGTGCACAGGATGATGCTCAACCAACTGAGCCAATCCAGTCGGGATCCTCTCTTTTGTAAAATACATAGTTAAGTGTACTTACTTCAGAGGATTATTACCAGGGGTAAACAGATAGTGTAAGTAAATGGCTTATAAAAAGCTATGCCTATCATTAAATTTAAGTAATAATGAATAAAGTCCTACTGAACTCCCACCTTCTGCTTCTCTAAGGGATCTATTTTAAGAGCTCTTCACAAAAACTTGAAAATTGTTTACACTGAGATTAACTTTAATATTTAAAAGTCAATGGAGAGAATCGACACCTTTGTCACTAAAAAAATAAAATAAAAAATATGTCTTTCTTGATTACCTTAAAATTTTCCTTTATTATGGCAAGTCCATTTCCTCCTAACCCTAAACAATTCCAGAGCACTTCACCCTAACACCTCAGACAATGTCTCAAAGTTCAGTTAGGAAGTTAAGCTTGCACAGGCTGTTGCCCTTACAGAGTACATTGCCACAAAGCAGCCCTTGGCCTGGTAAGGCCTTTCTTATCCTGGCTGTGAAATATTACCATAGGATGCCCTTACCTTGGAGAAATCTCTGCTTTTGTTAATTCTTATATTTAAGGAGCAAACAATATTTAGTTTTATTGAAATGTGGTGGAATTAGGAAATTGTGTCAGTAAAATCAACTTAAAGTTTGAAAACTTAGTCATGTCTTGTGCTTGAAAGGATTAACTATACATCCATACAGATTTTAAAATGTTATATTTTTTTGTTACAAAAACATGTTTATTGTAGCAAATTTGTATAATTCAGAAGTTTTTAAAGAGGAGTTAAAATCACTCAGTCACACAAACTTCACTAGCATTTAAACTGATTTTTAAATTTTGCTATTTTATAGGTAGTAATGGTTTATTGTTTTACTTTTTCTTTCTTTGGTTAGAGAGGAATACATTTTCATATAACTTCCTTCATTTATCGATCCTTATCTTTGAGAATTGTCTGTTCATGCTCTTTCTTAATGTTTACATTATGAAATTAATGTATTTATTATTGATTACTATGATAGATAAGTTAGTAGTTATTTTTTAAACATATCTGTTATAAATGTACAGTTTACTGTTGCCTTAAAATACTAAGGATTTTTAAACAGTTATATTTATATTCAGTTAAACATATTAATCTTTTCTTATGTGGTTTCTTAAATCATTCAACTTTTCCTGGAAGTTAAGATTTTTAAAAAGTTAGTCTTTTAACCTACTTGTAATTTATTTTGGGATACGGTAAAGGTGAGAATCACCTGGGTTTTCCCCCAAATAAATTATCAAAAATTTTAATACATTTACTGAACAATCTAGAGAAGATCTTCACATATTTTTAGATATTAAGTTCTTAACTAGCGATACTGACTAATGATCTGGAGAAGAAAATTACTCTTTACTGAAGTAAGAGAATGTGAATTTGTTCTACAGTATTCATAAACCAAAGTGATAAGAAGTGAGGACAGAATCAAAAAGACATTTAAAAAATAAAACAAATATAATAATTTAAGAGAAAATTCAAATTAAGATACAGGAAAAAAAATGGAAAGGATTTAGAGGGAAAAAATCAACAGAAATATTAGGAAACCTGAACCTTTAATAAAAACAAAACATAGAAAACTAAGAGCACCAACTCCTATTAAAACTTTGTTTCTGTACTGTTGTGTGACTCTGGACAAACTGTTCAGACTTTTTTTTTATGCCTCAGGTTGCTGTTGGACAAAAGGAAACATAATAAAAAGCTTTATCAAGTTCCCACTGTAGCACCAATTATTATTTATGCCAAAAAATAAATAAGAGGGAGGAAATTCAAAAGATATCAATGCAAACAATTGAAGGAAAAAGCAAATTCTTAAGGAAAGGTAAAAGGAATGCAATAAACAGCATGTTAATGACAAGTAAAAAGGAATGCATGTATAAATAAATATTATGGACCAGGGCCACACATTAATTTCAGCAAGAGAATATAAACAATTCTCTGTTGAAACTGTTGAATCCTGCATCAGTGCTCCTAAGGACCGAAAGGTGAGAGGAAAAACACAGCTAAAAAACAAACAAACAAACAAATGAGACACTACATTTGAGTCTTGGAATAACTCAAAACTAGGCATTTATTTTCCTGGTAGTTGGGACTGTGTGCTGGATTTTAGAAGCTGGATTTTAGCAGGAGGGATAGGCTTTCTACCCTGTGGCTCCAATTCTCATATCTGGCTGATCCTTTAGCAGTATCTTGGCCATCAACAGCAGTAAGACTTCAAGCCTGGCACCTCATTTAGAACCCAATAAGGAATGGAAATGGGAGTCAGAAAATAAAGTGAAACAATGACCGTTTTGCCTGTCATCCAGGAAGATGTACTTTGGAAACTATTACATTAGGAAATTAAGTTCCAGTGGGAAACGGTGGCAGGTGCTTATCTTGAAGTACTTGAAACCAGAACAGAAAAATATGCATCAAAAGATTATAAGAAGAATTAATAATTTAGGGCAAATGTAAGCAGATTTGATCTTTGAGAGCTTTTCCAATCATAATTCTTTTTGTTGTTCTGTAAAGAATAGTTTGTTCAGAGCTGTCTTTATTAATATACAACTGCCACGGTGAGAAGTTGGAAGTTTAATATGGACATCCTCTCCAGATCTGAAATATTGTGAGTCTGAGACCTTTGGTCCAACCTTCCCTCCTGGTGTGTTATAATCATAATGGTCACAAATTCGACACCCTTGGCTTAATCATAAAGGTGAGCTTAACCTCATCTCCCCAACTTGATTTTTCTGATTCAATTTTGCTCATTCAGTTTGTCCACAAATTTAGTTTTCTAAGGGGCTTCCAATTAAAAATAAAAAAAATATTTTTGTTCATTTGTATAACAAAGGAGAAAACCGTGGTAAATGGACATGCTTCCACAGTTCTTTGAAACTCCAGATTCTATCACTTTAAAACTCCAAGGGTAATGGTATTTAATGAACATTTTACTGTTTCTCTTCATGTCTTTATCTTCAAATAAATTATATAGA